ATGACATGTCCCTACCATTTCAAGATTCTTGATGGAGGACATAAAGTCTTTCAAATTGGCCTATTTTCTTGTCTGCGTCTGTCTCCCACTGCGCCATTTGTGATGCAGTCCATGCCGAAGATGATTTCTTAGCATCTTTTCTTTTTCCAATACTTTGATTCTTCGCTGTACTTCTGTTGTTAATGTTTAAGATTCACAGGCCAACAGCGCACACAACAATTTGATCTTTGATTTCAGGCAAATGACCTTGTCTTTCCAGATGATTCTTAGTTTTCTAACTGTTGCCATTGTTTGCGATGTTAAAGTATTTTTTTTATTCTGGAGCTCTCTTCGTTGATAGTCAAACCAAGATATTTAAAGTGACTTTGACTTTTAAAATTCCTGACCACCGAATTTTATCTTGGTTGATGGCCCCTTTTTCATTGTTCTGTGTGTAACCGGGGATAAATTTCATAATTCTGGTTATTTTAAAATATTCCTTTGTGTACTAAAAAGTCAAAGATTCTAATATAAACACTCTGAACAGCCAAATAACGAAACGTGTACTAAGAAGAAAACAAAACTATGACCTTTATTTATAAATACTCAAGCGTGCAGGAACTGTTAAAAAAAATAGTTGCTGTTCATTGATTTCAAAGCGGCAGTTGTGTGTGAATAACACAATCCAGATTAGGCTTGGTTGTTGAAAGGGCTTCGCTTTGGAACTAATGCTGAAAATATGGAAAAAATGTTTCCTACACATCGCAATACTTTGAACATGTTTTTAATAGTATTAAGTATTTTATCGATTTTCTTTAGATTAAATCAAACATGAAAAAATGTCTTATTTACACACCAATCTCGATATATCATGGCACACCACAGCCCTAGATATGATTTAAGTAGCAGGGCTCACTAATGTTGGTTGGTAACCAGTCTAGAAGATAAATTGATTTTAAAACCAGTTGTGTGTGGGGTTAGCAACACCACCTTATAACATCTACTTGCTACTAAAACCACAGCAGCGACACCGTAGTAATGCAGTAATCCCTACACTTTACAGAGGACTCATCACGTTCAAGAGGTTGGGGAAAAAAGACAATAAAGAAATTTGGGTTTAGAACGACACATCTTGGTTCCCATCTTTATTAATTTATAAAAATTAAAAAAAAAAAAGAATTCTATAAGTTTAAAACAAAAATCCCAGTATCTGTCTATATTTCTGAGATGAGGTATTATGCACACTATTTACATTGTTTGGACTGTCGTCCCAAACTTTGTTGCCATATTTATCACAACGTTTCGGCAGTTGTACGCTCCGGCCATCTTCAGGTCGTTGGAATGTCGAACTGAACCCTTTATTTCGTTCGCTGGGGTAGACTGTTCTAGTTCCACGTGCCACGTCTAATGGATGCCAGTTATCAGTTATCCCCTCTCCAAGTTCTCCATCGCCTTAACCAGGTATTGATCTCATACTCTTTGGATCCTGTCACTGGATCTAACTAACACCTTTATCCACTTTGCCATGTGTCCTTGTGTATGAATTTCTGGGACTCTTGATTGTAGTAGACATTAGGTCTATTACCTAATGTCTACTGCAATCATTTTTTACCAGTGCTCATATTGCAAATTTTGTTGTTATCAATTATATTTTTTACCCAAACTCATATTGCAATTTTCGTTGTTATTATTGCTTTTCTCTAGCATTCTTTATTATTGGTTCCCATATTATATTCATTTCTATGCTTGGTCGGCTCAGGAGATTTTTGTGGCCTAGCATATATGCTGATATTGACGAATTTTCCAATGATATTCTTTGTCTATGATTTCAACCTGATCCCACAGATTGCGGTGATCTCCCTTTTCTCTCTATATGTGGTCAGCCATGCCTGAATTTTCCACTTCTCCTCGTGTTACAGATTTTGGTGTTCTTGAAGCCTTACCTTAAGGGGGTGGCCTTTCTCCCCTTTATATGTCTTTCCGGAGCTGCACGGGATGGCGTACACACGGTCTTTAGTCATATTCTCCTCTAGTGGGGGGGTCTTACTCGGGAGAGATATCTGCAAAGTGTCGTCCAGCTTTTGAAGGGTGTCCTGATGTTATATCGACAGCCGAAAATACAAAGGATAAATATGGCAACAAAGATGAGGACGATAGTCCGAACAATGTAAATAGTGTAAAAAATCCTAGCATTTACACTATTATTTGTTCTCATCTTTGTTCTTGTTATCACAACGTTTCGGCTGCTGTGCCCTCAAGCCTTCATCAGGTAACCGATCCGTGAATTCTGAAGTAAACCCTTTATTTAACCTACTTTATTTAATGTTCACGAGGGATATCTTGTCTAGTATTGCTCAATTATTGCTCGCACACGTAAATAAAGGGTTCATTTCGGAATTCCCTAATGGTTACCCGATATAAACCTGATGAAGGTCGGAGGGTTCAATGGCCGAAACGTTGTAATAATAACAACAAAGATGTGGGGAATGTAAATATTGTAAAAATGATTTCTCCTTATATCAGAAATTCAGACAAGAAAACTCAATATTTGAATACAAATATATGAAAGCACGCCTTCCTATTTTTTGTTGGTTGGCGCAACATAGTCTTCTTAATCCCTGTCTATGCCAGATGAAGGCTTATTAATTATTGGCATATAGAGTAATTCGAGTCTATATTCCTTGTGTTTCGTTAGTTCATTTATTAGATAAAAAGAAAAATATGCTTTTCTTCGTTACTATTTCTAAAGTTTTTGATACTCACGAGATGTAACTATAGATAATTACATGGTTTTATTAGATTTACTTTTTATTACCACAAGTTTGGAGATCAGTTATTGTTGGTATTCTATTGACGGCTATCCTCATCTTTGTTGTTTTGATCATGTCATTCCGTTCGGTACTCTCATAGGCGTTTATTTTTTCAGAAGTATATCACATATGCTAAGAAAATGTGATCCGAAAAAATCCACGGAGGCTCATCAACTGAAATAGAAAAAGAAGATAAAGAAAAAGGGAAAGAAAAGTGTAGGCCAAAGAAATCATGAAATAAATGAAAAGGTTATATTTCGGGCATGCCGTAGAGTAATGGGTATGAAAACATGCGAGGCTGCAGATGGGTCCAAGAACAAAAAAAAAAAAAATGCTAGAAGAATATTTCCGGAATAATTGCAGTCAAGGGAAAAGTTTTTTTGAATTCTTGTATTTTGATTGGTCACTGCAGCTTATGTAACAACGTTTCCCCTATCGAGGGTTGTTTGATTGATTTGAACCTTTTAAAACTCTTTATTCTACATTCAACACCATCACTTGATAAGACACCAGAAGTGTTGAAACAAAATGGCTATTTTTCTAGTGATTTTATAATATATTTATGTTATAATTTTCGTACAAATAATTATCTATCTCTCTCTCTCTCTCTCTCTCTATATATATATATATATATATATATATATATATATATATATATATATATATGTATATATATATATATATATAAAGGTGAACGATTGATGCCAACACTCAGAGCTGACGGCCTGACGATTGCGTCAAGCATGAAACAGCCTGTCGCCCCTGAGTGTCGACTTTAATGTTCACTTTTATATTTACATACACTCTGTCCCTTATTGAAAACCCATATATATATATATATATATATATATATATATATATATATATATATATATATATATATATATATATATATATATATATTAATTAGTACCTATACGTGTACCTACGCGTATATATACTAATTAATACATATCTTTGGTCTGTATAATCGCATTGATCCCTATTACGTTTTAAACCTCATGTATAAATTTAATGATTATTTATTTTCTTGCCTGCGTACGCACACCAACATACGCGTACAAGCCTGCGTATATTTGTCCGTTTCATTTATCCACTCTACAACTATATATATATATATATATATATATATATATATATATATATATATATAATGATATAAATATAACTAATTATACTCGTCTGGAAAAACTTTGGCTTGTAAATGAACAAACCAACACCGAAGGAAAAATAAGGGATAAACAAAGAAAGAACATGAAATTGAGGCGAAAACAATCGCCCAGAATCCAAATAAAAAAAACCTCCAACACGAGTAAAGCAAAAATAACTAAACAAAGTCCACAATACGCTAAGTAGAGCAAATCTAATTACGAACCTAAAAGAGCTAGGCAAAACCTACCTAGGTTTCATCTATGCAGATCGTCAGAGTACGCCTGGCGCTTTAGTATATATATATATATATATATATATATATATATATATATATATATATATATATATATATATATATGTATATATATATATATATATATATATCAGAGAGAGAGAGAATATATATCTATATCCATATATAGATAGATAGAGAGAAAATATATATTTATAAAGATAGAGAGAACACACACACACACACACACACACACACATATATATATATATATATATATATATATATATATATATATATATATATATATATAGTGTAGCCCATTTAAGAGAGTTGTCGGGACCGGAGAAAAGTCTCCTATATCCGGGTTTCTCTTATATCCGGGTTTGGTCTATTTTGTTTAGGTAAGTATGGGCTCTAATTTGGGACCAGAGAAAATCTCTCTTATATCCGGGTCTCTTATATCAGGGTTACACTGTATATATATATATATATATATATATATATATATATATATATCAGGTCTTTGGCTGACGATTGCGTTTAGTAAGAAACACACTGTCACCATTGGGTGTTGCCTTCAATGTCCACTTTTTATATTTACATACGCTCTATCCCTGATATTGAACACTTTAAATGTTTCATTAAATAATATAAACATGTTATGTCTATTTATTTTATAATATTCATTTCTAGTTGTCTAATCAATTTCTTGATATTAAGATCAAAATCATCAAGGATGGCGCTGTAATCTTTTCCTACCTAAGTAATTTCGAACTCTTCCAAGATGTCTATATTATTCAGTGAAACATGTTTGAATATGCTGCCTAAAGATAGATAGATAGATAGATAGATAGATAGAAAATTATTACATCAAAGGTTAAAAAGCGTGGGTCACAGAATATACTTCGACAAAATTGTTTTTCCTGGTTTTTGAAAGCTTAAAACAAATTATAATTTCCACTTGTAAAATTACAATGATAAAAAAATGTCTAGAGTGGCGTGACCTCAGATAATCTGTGATCTCAGAGGGAAGAATGTGACCTGTGACCTGTGACCTTGAGGGGCCCTGACGTATATTACACTGGACAAAAACATTGTAGAGATCGAAATGATGGCGATACTTGCCGAAATAATTCGTTAAATATTGTCGCGATTGGATGACAATTCTAAAAAGACGAATAACATCTGGATTGTCGGGCGGTGTGTCAAGTTGGACCGGCTGGCGGGCGTCATTTGTATATCACGTGCTTGTTTGATGGCCCGAATTGTTTTGATCGACCAACGTGTCCCGACTTAGCTGACAGGCGAGAAGGAAGGAGAATAGAATCAAAAAACAAAACGAAACGAAAAAAGAAATTAAAACAGTTCTCATATAGTATATCTCTCCCCACCAGGAAGGCAGTCGATTTACTTGGGTCGCGTGCACAACAGTCTTGTATATGTGTGACTTTCTTTTCTTTTAGGAGTGGGATTATGTGTAAATGTGAGATTGGTTGTATTAAGAGCGTATGGGGGAGGAGAAGAAAAAAAAAACGAGGAAAAGTACAAATAATCAAGACACGTTACACGTACGAACACACGAACACAAACGATACGGGAAAAAATTGACACCAATGATAAGGTACATAGAAAGAAAGAAAATTGACACCAATGATAAGGTACATAGAAAGGAAGAAATCGAGAAATATAAGCATTTGATATCCTCTGAAGAGTGGATGGATGGGTGAAAAAGGGGAAGATGTTCGTAAGATGACTTTGGCATAAACAAATGGTGTAAAACAGAGAACAATTTTTATTGTTAGTATATATTCATTTTTATAAATAACTTTAGATTATAGCAAAAAATGGAATGTTAATTATAATAAGCAAATAATTTCATTTAAATTTAAATAAAGGTTTTCGGAGCAACCGATTTTAATTAAAAAACATAATAAATATGATAAAAATATCTGTAATTATGATAAACAGGCTGCTCTCTCTCTCTCTATCTATCTATCTATCTATCTATCTATCTATCTATATATATATATATATATATATATATATATATATATGCTCAATCTTCTCTCCATGCCACTTACATAATAGCAGGCCACCCACATTCCCTTCGAATTCTATAGATGAGAAGTAAGTTCCACTCAAACAGCTTCTTCACGCGAAACCGACTCCCAAGACGATGCTTCCCCGATCACTACAATCTTAACCTGTTCAAGGCTAAGGTTAACTGTTATCTTCCCCTCCTATACACACAAATGGTCCTCAAACTTAACCCTCTACCTCGAGTGCCCCCTGGACCTTGTAAAGGGTGAACGTCGCTGTAAAAAAAAAAAAAAAAGATAGATAGATGTATGTATTTGTTATGTTTTATATACGTAGACTTTTCATTCTTCTTTTTCTATGTTATTGATGTCTAATCATTTGTAAATCCCATATTTACGAGAAAACTAACCTAAACTCTTCGATACAATTTGTCACAAAAAGTTAAGCTTTTAATTTAATTTTAAATTATTCTTATTTTATTTCATTTGATATCTTCCATGGAATGTATCTTCAGTTAACTGGAACATAAATGTAAAATTGCCCTCTCATGCTTACTATCTGACGAGCTGACGTTAGGTGAAACAATGGTATTGAGTAATCCATCATCATGGTGTATGGAGTGACATGTCTCGATTCATCTTCCTACGTTGCCTCAGATTCAACATAGACGTCTACATCAACATAGACGTCTACATCAAGTGCCTTAAGGAGGTAGTACTGCACTGTGTCAAGAGGGTGACCGCTGGAAGACACTATGTCTAGCAACAGGACTCTGCACCATATCACACATAGTTGACAGACAATTGCCCTGGTCACCTAACTTCCCAGACTGCACCCCCCCTTGATTATTATGTGTGGGGTGCAGTTGATCAAGAGACCAACAAAACTCCTTTTAACACCAACAATGGACTGAAGTCAAGTATTATGGCAGAATTCACCAAGACCGCCCAGAAGAGTTGCAGGAGATTCCGAAGTTGTCTGGAGGCTGTGGTTGGCGATTTTATTGAATAAATTTACTCTTTAGTATTTCAAGATATTTTTGTGTCATTTTGGTAAATATATCTCTTAAAATGAGATGTCAGTATTATTTTCATTTCTGCGTCATTCAGATAAAAATTTATATTTATATTTTAAGACAGTGTGAGAGAAATCAATTGTAATTGAGATACACTGAGAGAAAGAGAGGGGAGTGAGAGATGAAGAAAGAGAGGGAGACTGAGAGATGAAGAAAGAGAGGGGAGTGAGAGATGAAGAAAGAGAGGGGAGTGAGAGATGAAGAAAGAGAGGGAGACTGAGAGATGAAGAAAGAGAAAAAAATATGATGAAAAAAGAGAGGGAGTGAGAGATGAAGAAAAGAGGGAGACTGAGAGATGAAGAAAGAGAGGGGAGTGAGAGATGAAGAAAGAGAGGGGAGTGAGAGATGAAGAAAGAGAGGGAGACTGAGAGATGAAGAAAGAGAGGGGAGTGAGAGATGAAGAAAGAGAGGGGAGTGAGAGATGAAGAAAGAGAGGGGAGTGAGAGTTGAAGAAAGAGAGGGGAGTGAGAGAGAGGTAGGAGGGAGATAAATATTTTGAAAAAGGAAGAAGTGAGAAAAAAATTTTATAGCGCACACACAGATATATAGGTATGCGCAAACATAGATAGATAGATAGATAGATAGATAGATATGGATAGGTTTAGGTAGATAGATATGAACAGATTTATAGATAGATAGATATGAATAGGCTTAGGTAGATAGATATGAAGAGATTGATAGATCGATAGATAGGATATGAATAGGTTTAGGTGGTTAGATAGGAACAGATTTATAGATAGATAGATAGATAGATATGAATAGGCTTAGGTAGATAGATATGAACAGATTTATAGATAGATAGATATGAATAGGTTTAGGTAGATAGATATGAACAGATAGATAGATATGGATAGGTTTAGGTAGATAGGTATGAACAAATAGATAGATATGAATAGGTTTAGGTAGATAGATATGAACAGATTTATAGATAGATATGAATAGGCTTAGGTAGATAGATATGAAGAGACTGATAGATAGATAGATAGATAGATAGATATAAAAACAGGGGAAGAGAAAGGAAATATAAGCCGATAGAAATAATGCGATGAGGCAAAGATGGATAAATAGAGAAAAAAGAAAATATAAACCTCGAGAAAAAGACGCGGAAAATGCTGAAGATTATAATTGAAGCACACACGCACAGACACGCATACGTACACACACACAGACATCGCACGCGCGCACAGCCGCATATAGTGAGAGAGAGAGAGAGAATTACGCCTGTAAAGGGATTTTTAATTGCTGTGAATGAGATTAAATGTCACAAAAGAAAAGTAATGACATAAGAAAGTCTGTAGATATGAATTCACATCTCGTTATGTGTGTCGCTTTGTAATTGTACGCGTTTTAGACGAAAAGGGGACAATCTTCACGCGACAAGTGCCTGATTTCAATAGAAAAGCATAGCAGTTAGGTTCATCTGAATGGTGAGGGTTGTACTATAAGTGAAGGCGAAAGAGATTTAATTCAAAAAAGAGGTTAAAGGTTTGGTTATTCATTGTGTAATACATACTTGCCTCAGAACTGTGAACCACTCACATCCACGGAATCTTTATCTCTTAAACGTTGTCTGTAGGATTAAATAATCAAACCAACTTCTTCCACATTCTGATTATGTTGTTATTTCAAATATGCAACAAAAAGATATGACGAATAACGGAGTTCTTTTTTCTATATCTACAGATAGCCATACATAGATTGCTTAATGATTTATTTAACACAACGAACATGCAATTTTCAATATAATCCTTTCTTATTTATTCTTTCTAAATTTAGTAGTGAGTAATTATCATGCACATCAAACATAACAGTGAAAAATTCACGTCAAATTTCAGCTAATAACTTCGTCACAAGTTAGAGACTTCTTGAGCTTCCGTCAAATCTATCTATCTATCTATCTATCTATCTATCTATCTATCTAATTCTTTTCATATCTATCTATATATCTCTCAAAAGACAACAATGAAAATAAATTGACAACAATTTAAAACAAACCCCTTAAAAATGGCTAAATGGCCGAAAGTGTTTTGGAAAACAAACACTCACTTACCCACATCACACTCTGCTGGGAGCTGATAGCTCAGAGGAAAAATCTCTGACTGATGCCAAATCAGTTGGTTTTCGATCCTGACCTGAGGCCATTGGATGCCTAGCCATACTGATGAGCTGTGATACAGCAAAACAGTCTGTCTGTGGATCACACACACACACACACACACACACACATATATATATATATATATATATATATATATATATATATATATATATACAAAATGAGAACGAATGCCTGATAAGATGTGTTGATTCGCATCGAAACGCGATTGCAATTATCTAGCGTTTTTTTTTGACATGTTTTTTGATGTAATATCCTAAAATATATATATATATATATATATATATATATATATATATATATATATATATATATATATATATATATATATCCATCCAAAATGTATACACCTTTCAGAAAAGGAAAAGTTGCAATAACACTCTTTACTGTAGTACTGTATTTTATCAACAGATGTCATTACCCTCATGGCTGTAGTATCAAAAAGTCCTAAAGGATGTTGTGTATCGCAAAAAAACTAACTCTGTTGGCGGCCTTTAGACAAGAAATTGAAAATACGTACACGGCAATCCCAAGCAGTAGTTCGCCGTAGTAATAAATGTCTGAAAGCTAAAGGCCACCATTTTGAATATATCTTGTGATTGTAGAGTTCAAAAGTAACTTGTATTAATCTCGTCATGTCTGAATAAATTTAATATCATAATACCTGTACAATTTCTTCTTTTCCTGAAGCACGTATATATTTGGGTGGGTGGCGGAGTCTGTACACACACACACACACACACACACACACACACACACACACACACACACACACACACACACACACACACACACATATTGCCAGTTCAAGAAAGACATTCCTATTACTAACACACACAAAAATGAGAATGACTCATATCGAGAATATTTAACATCGAAAAACATAAAGAAGAAAAAAAATCATTTTTGATAATATGTAGAAATCTCCATCCTTTGCCTGATGACGCTCACGAAACCAGAAACACATGTAGTAAAATTATGGAAAATAAAGCACAATATTTTTAAAAAAATATCCACATTACAACCAAAAACAGTTGCGGTATCTCTCCTTTTTTTAATATACATACGCTGGAATTAATATAACCTCTTCCTTTTATATATATATATATATATATATATATATGATTAGTATAATATTTTTATTATAATATTTTACATCGCTACACAAAAACTTTCATGTTTCGGAACTTTAAATTGTCGCTCATCGGGCGATTGTAGATGACTTATGATGAAAAGGATTTATTTGGGAAACTAGAAAAAAAGCCGTTGCCTCATTTGGCAAAGAACTTTGCTAAGAACTGTGGAATCTTAATCTGTCTGTTCTTTCTCTTTGTTTGTATACACACACACACACACACACACACACACATATATATATATGTGTGTGTGTTGTGGACTTGTTGGGGCCAGAAATAAAGCCACAAAGAGAGTAATTGAGGTAAACAAATATATTAACAGAAAAACAGTAATACAAACATATAGAAACGAGAAAGAATGTTAAGTCCGATTTTCAGAGCTGAATGCTGGAAACTACATTCTCTAGCTGCTCTTATTTGTAACCTGGAGAGTACATCTGTGCATGGGTAAATTACCATAATGATATGCTCACGCACACACACACACACATATATATATATATATATATATATATATATATATATATATATATATATATATATATATATATATATATGGTTTATTTCAGTAGTAATTTTTAATTTATACAAGGTTAGTTATAGACTAACGAAGCTTTATTATTGAGGATGTTTTTTTTTAATTTATTTTCCTATATTTCGGACAATTTCCCTGTTTTCCGGTGCTTGTCTACGTATAAATTGTCCTGTGTCTGAATAGGTTCGGTTTTCATAAGCCTTTAGCAAAGAATGAATTCATTGAATAATAATAATAATAATAATAATAATAATAATAATAATAATAAAACAAAACAAAGCAAAACAATGAAACGCTATTTTTTAAAACGTGAAAATGAACTGAATTTTTCAACACGTGTCATATCATAAAAACGTGCAAGTAAAAACTTGAATCAATGATGATAATTACTGTTTCCTGTTTGTGCTCTGGGGTTGGAATTAATAAACGGAGTGGGTATTAATAAGCTCGAGGGGGTCGGAAACTTTAAAGAAAAAATAATAAAGATAAAATAGAAAAATATTCACCGTCTCTATTTCGATTTGGCGTCTATGGGGAAAAAAAGATTATGACAAAAGGTTTCAGTTACAAAACAACATTTCACCCTTTGGAGCTTTGTTAAAATTTCGCTTCTTTTCTTTTTTTTCTTCTTCTTTTCTTTCCTTTTCTTTTCTCCGTCGATTATTGACTTCCTCTCTTTCTTTTATTTATTTCGCTTTCTTTCTACTTATCTATTTTTGTCTTTCATTCAATTCGCTCTTTCCGTTCGTTTACGTTTTGAGTTTTCTTAGTTTTTCTTTCTTTTTCTCTTTCCGCTTTTCTTTTTTGTCAATTTATTCTTTTTCTTTTTCTCTTCTTATTTCTCCTTTTGTTACTTTCTTTTTTCCTTTTTCTATCGCGTTTTTTTTTTTCATTTTCTCCAATACTTTCTCTTTTTTCATTTTCTCTTCCCTCCCTGTCTCTTTCTCCCTTTCATTATTTCTATCACATCCTTTTACTTACACTTTCTTTCTTTCTTTCTTTGTTTCTTTCTTTGTTTCTTTGTTTTTCTCGCCTTTCTTTAAATTTCTTTATATTTTATTCTTTTTTATACACGCAACCATTTTGATTTTTAGAATTTTTTCTTCAAATTTTCTTTTCATTTCTGTCTTTTCTGTTTGAGTATTTTCTTTATCTTTTTTTCTTTGTTCCTTCTTTCCTTCCTTCTTTCGTTCGTTCGTTTCACACTGCCTTTTTTTTCTCTTTTCTCTTCCTCTTTCACTCCCACTCCTATCTTTAACTTTCAACGTTTATTTCTCTTCTTTCTCCCTCTTTTTCTTTTCTCACATTCTCTCTCTCTCTCTCTGTAATCTTTCACTCTTGCTATTTCACTTCTTCCTTTCTTATTTCTCTCTTTCTTTGACTCTCTCTCTCTCTCCTCTTTCACCCACTCCTTGTTCCATAGTTCTCGTCTTTCTCCCTCTTTGTCTTTTCTCTCCTTCTTTCTCTCCTATTTTCGCCTTCCATTATTTTATATTTCTCTCTTTCACTTTTCTCTCTTCCTTTCCTTCCCTCTTTCAGACTTTCATTGTTTCTTTTCTCTCCTTTTTTCGCTCCCCCTTCTCTTTCACTTTCCCCTTGTTTCATATCTCTATTTTTTCTGCCTTTTTTTCTTGTTCTACGTCTTTCTTTTTCCTTCTTTTTCTTTTCTGACCTTTCACACCTTCTCCTCTTTTTCACCCTTCCCCTGTTCTATATTTCTCTTTTTTCTTCCTCTTTTTCTTTTCTCTCATTTCGCTTCCCCCTTTCTCTTTCCTCTTTCCTTTCTTCTATAATTTATCTTACTTTCTCTTTTTTTTCTTTTCGCTCCTTCTTTCACTCCCACTGCTCTCTTTCCCCCTTCCCCTCTTCCATATTTTTCTTTTTCCTCCCTATTTTTACTCTCTCTCTCTCTCTCTTTCTCCCTTACCCTCTTCCATATTTCTCTTTTTCCTCCATATTTTTATTCTCTCTCTCTCTTTCCCCCTTACCCTCTTCCATATTTCTCTTTTTCCTCCCCTATTTTTACTCTCTCTTTTCCCTCTTACCCTCTTCCATATTTCTCTTTTTCCTCCCTATTTTCCTCTCTCTCTCTTTTCCCCTTACCCTCTTCCATATTTCTCTTTTTCCTCCCTATTTTTACTCTCTCTCTCTTTCCCTCTTACCCTCTTCCATATTTCTCTTTTTCCTCCCTATTTTTACTCTCTCTCTCTTTCCCCCTTACCATCTTCCATATTTCTCTTTTTCCTCCCTATTTTTACTCTCTCTCTCTTTCCCCCTTACCCTCTTCCATATTTCTCTTTTTCCTCCCTATTTTTGCTCTCTCTCTCTTTCCCCCTTACCCTCTTCCATATTTCTCTTTTTCCTCCCTATTTTTCCTCTGTCTCTCTTTCCCCCTTACCCTCTTCCATATTTCTCTTTTTCCTCCCTATTTTTGCTCTCTCTCTCTTTCCCCCTTACCCTCTTCCATATTTCTCATTTTCCTCCCTATTTTTACTCT